AAATGAATTTGAACGATTGTAGTATCAGGCTGCAACATAACAAAATTGAAAAAAGTAAAGGCGGTCTGAATGCTTTCTGAATGCACTGTATATAAATAAAAGCTTCCTAATTTTCACACATACATAAAACCACCTAGTAGTGAGAGCTGTGCTACATATACTTGAATTATATACATGTGTGTGCCTCCATGCATGTATACAATGGATATTTTCAAGACTGTGATCTTCTGAAGCTGGTTTACAGAATAACTTTTTAATGGAAAATAAACACTTCCCATAGGCAAGCAAATGGTATGTCATGGCCACAGTAATGAATAGCACAATTGTAGCTATTCTTTTCTAGATGAGCGTTTCATTTGGTTTATTCCATAAGCTGTTCCCATGCATATGATTATGGCAAGCATCTTTTGTTCATTAATATCTCTTTGATTGTCGTTGTCTACCATTGCCATGAGAATCTGCAAAGTATAATAGGGCAATTTGTTGCTTTAAAAATATGTTTGAATAGAAGTTTAATCTGAGAAATCTATTGATGAAGGTGTGGAAGTAGAGGCTCAAGTTGATGTGCGCAATTTTGCACACAAAATGTTCTGTTATTTTTGCTGCCTGGTCACATAATGTCCATTAAGAGTTTATAACCTGTCATAATCCCATCCATTGTCATTTATCTAAGACTTGTAATGTCTGTTCATTTGAACAAGCCCCATTAATGCATTTGGCTGCATTTCCAGGTAAGTATGCCTAGGACTGCACTTTAATCTTCTATCTGTTCTGTGCAAGTCTGGAAAAAGCCAACTCTGCAGCTCATTTAGATTACTAATAAGGAAAATTATTTAATCCCCAGAATGTTTTAGTTTCTGCTATCTCTTAATTATGTCTACGTATTTTGAACATGTAGCATGCAGCACAGTAAAGCCTCAATTTAATGAACCGTTTGGGGAGAGGGCTATCTTTTAAATACGAAAACTACACATGTTTGTAGTTTGCACATGCATAAAAGGCCTATCAACAATTATGTGCGTGATAAAAAAGAATGCATTGAGCCTCTTGGTTCTTTCAAGCCAACAAGGCTTGGTGCTCTGTGCGCTATTTTATTCTGTTAATTTCCTCCATTGCAATTTCTTATAGGCAAGGGCCCAAGTCGACCACCTTTGCCATCTGTCAGTGTAACTTATCCCTTACTTTCTTCCCCATCCCCCAATCTTCCCACCACTGCTTATGCCAATGTCATAGCATGGCATACCCCACCAGCCTGTCCCCTTGCTACCCTGGACTCCCCCAAACTTCCCAGTGCCTACCCAGAAACATCTGCAGAGCCTTGATGTAATGGATTTTGTTATTTTTAATGGACATCTGGACTTAAATTTTGTCAGTTTGATTAGAAATCCATTAAAGGGAAGTCCATTAAATAGAAGTTTTAAGTGTGATCTTAACTGCATCTTAAATACTTTCAACAAATTTCTGTAACAAGATTTTTCAGTTATTACCATTATATCCTGATTCTTTTATAAAATTAAAACAATTATACATTATTTCTCTGATTTATTATCTGCAACCTACACCCCACACCATTATCCTTCGAGTGTGTATAAGTAGATTAAAAAAAACACTTAAAAGTCCACACAGAAACCCCATTTGCTCCTGTCTAAGCCTTAAATGATATTCTTTTGCCCATGATTGTTAAACTAGATCATAGTGTTTTGAAACATTTTATGAAAAGCTTTTTGATTATTCTAAATCACTGTGTCCCATGAATCATATATTTACTCACAGAAGCAGATAATATCTCTCAAGTCAACAGCTGCCATGTTAAGGAAATAGCTCAGAGGCTTGAATAGTGGAGATTTGTTAACAATAAGCAGTTAGGAATATGATGTGGTCAGTAACTAACTTTTTTTTGGGGGTAGTAATTTTATTAAAGATTATAATTACACCACTGAAAACTGAAAAAAAAATAAAAAGAAAGAGTAGAAGGTGCAGAAAAGAAAGAAAAAAGGAAAAAACAGAAATAGAAAAGAAAGAAAAATAAGAATATAGTACAGAAAAAGAAAATAAATATATAAAGAAGTACTTCCTTTCCATACAAGTATAAACAATTTTAGTAACTTATCACTCCTCTTAAAATACAACAAATGGTTTCTTCTTCCCATATCTCATCTCCTATCTATAAACAAATCCATAAAGCATTGTCATTTCAGTCCTGATGTCAGCAAGAGTCCATTAAGGGTTACCAGAAATAACAACATATCTATTTTAACTTTGATCAAATAAACCAATTTTATATTCCTTTCTTTTACTTCTAACAGTCGTAATCTTTAGTCCATTCAAATAATGTCGTAGAACTTGGTTTCATTTTTTCTTTGTCCCTTTTCATGAGATTCTTCAAAATTTTAACAACCTTCTTTTGTTGTTTTGTTGTTAAATTTAAATCCAATATGGGAAAATTATCCAGGTCACTCTCTTGGTTTATTGTTTATATATCCCTTTTACTTATCAAAACATCAGGTTTCTTTTGTATGTCCCGTGTAACATCTTCCATGTCATTCTTGTAGCCTGTCATTTGTAAATCAACTTTCAACTCAGTCTTTGAGTTGTCCAGAGAGGTTTCAAAGAGCCAGTTTAGTCTCCGGCTCTTCATTCTGCCGTGGTCGTTGGCTCTGCTTTTTTCACGAAGCCATCTTCAGTCCACCATTTCTTCTTCCAGAAATTTTGACGTGGTCAGTAACTAACCTGACAGGTTGTGGTACATGTGAGTGTCACTATCACTGCAACATGAGTAATTCTATTTCAATGTTCTCCTTACCTCTCCCTTCCTTAATTTTGGATAGTCATTTTAAGATGAGGGAAAAGAAAGCACTAAATTGGGAGATTTCTAGATGTTGATTTGTTCAATGTAAATTTGGACATGTTAAAAAAATACTATATTTGGTAGATTTAGAACTGTACAGTTGAATGAAGCCACAAGGATCATCTAGTCCAACCCTCTGCAGTGTGCAGGAAAACCACTTAAACCATCCATGGCTGACTAGCCTCTTCTTAAAACCTCCAGAAATGGAGAACCTCTATATATTGGTTATTCCACTGCTGTACAGATCTTACCATTAGGAAGCTTTTCCTTATATTTAAAAAACTAAATGGTGGTAAATGATTGACACTTAGAAATGTCATTGTATTCAATAATAAGAAAGGGAACTTTAATTAACAATTTTGATTCTCTTTAATAGGATACGTTTAAATGCCTGAAAACTTTGTGTTGCTCTGTGAGTGTAATAAACCATTCTCTCTCTCTCTCTTTCTTTCTGAGACAGAATGCTGTCAAATTCAGCATGGAAGAGGGCAGTCCAGTGCTCCTTTTTTAGATTGCAAGGCTAATTCTTGACACTTTCACAAAGCTTATAATGCTGTACCTCAACATACATAGCATTTTGGTGGCAGGAACACTTCATTCTCCATTTGGGCTGGACAACCATCAATCAAAGGATTACTCGTAACTAGGAAAGCAAAAGTCATGTGGTATACATTTATGTCTATGAGTTTGGTGTTTCCAAAGAATTTCTCTTAAATTGCTCTTCCAACTTTTTATACATAAAAAACAATCTTTCAGCTGCTTTTATTCATTTAATTTCCCTCAAATCTTTTTATGTTCTTCTTTTAAAAGAATAAAATGTGCTGTATCTCTTTCTTAGTTTTTTCTTTTTTTCTTTTGCTTCTGATCCTAATAAAAATATTTTTCTAGACTGTCTGGGTTTTCAGAAACAAGATAAACTGCTCTAGCTACTAAAAAAGACCTCCTGTTTTTAAGTGTGCTCAATAGACTTAGTGATCCCTAGGATAAAACCAAGCTCCCATATGTGCAAGCTCCAGTTGCCACAAGGGCTTTCCATACCTACCACATCAGTAGAAGCAGAGTCAAAATCCAAAAAGTCACACAACAGACAAGTTTCTACAGCAAAATAAGATTAGACGTTGTAAATTGAACAGGTACAAATTTTAGATAAGAGATGCTCAACATAGTCAGAGGATCTTCTCTCTTCTTTATGAAGGTTTGTTTACCTGTCAGCATCATCTTGCAATGAAGGAGATATATAAGGTTCACTTATCAAGAAAATTACTAACCTCCATTTTTCTTACATTTGTTCTTGGATCATCTCAGAAGTGATTTCTGAAGCAGTTCATTGTACTTTGAAGCAAGTCATACTTTCCATAGTTAGATGACCCACCACTTCACATTCCCCTCATTTTCAGGCCCTCTAAAACCTGAAGAATAATGTAATTTGTCTTTAGAAATGCAAATTCCTCATTGATAGTCCTCCCATTCCCCTGAGATGTCAGACTTCCAAGAGTCTTTGGATTGGCAGATGTGTAGCTTTTTTTTCAAAACAATTCTTGTTTTGCTTCTTAAAGTAGGGAACATTTATTTTCTTGTGTTCTCGAATGGCTTCTTCTGTCTCACCAACATAGATCATCCGCAGGTGACACTGAGAGGTGGTGCTCATAATGATAAACTAGCCTTCTATTGATGATGGAATTCTCACTTTGTGTTTCCAGATTCTTAGATCGAAATCCATCTGACTGAAGGTAGATAATAAAAGGAGCCAGTTTAGAAATCAGCCACAGATTTGCTGGCTAATGCTCTAGGAAATCAAGCATTTGTTAGTCTCTTAATTTAGCTCTTCTGCAATCCTTTGTGCCTCTTGTGAAAAACAAAAGCATCAACTTTTTTTTTGCAGAGTTCTGACATAGAGCAGAAACATCATAGATGTTGTAAAATGGCCAGAGGGACCTCTAGAGTCCTTACCTTGAACTTTCTTCTAATCAAGATACTTTAAAAAATCAGAATAAAAACACGCTTGAGCCATTTTCATGGTCCCCTACTTACCGCAGAAAGTATTTACCCTGAAGTTTCTGTCTGGTTTGGTGAAACAGACATCTAAAATAGTCAGTAGCTGATTTGCCTGTGGTGTAATTGGCTCCCCAAAATGTCCTGATTCTTTGGCCTCTACATTCCACTTTGAGTTAGGCCTAGTCAAGGAGAGTTCTTTCTCTTTGCTTTAATTTAACCATGCCTCAGATTGTACTCGGTTCCAGGCACAGTCATGGATGGAACTGGGATGGTCTGTTAGCAACAAGGGAGGTTGCATAACCCCCACCTTCAGTCAATAGAAGTCAAACTACGCTGGAAGTTTCTATCACAGCACTTTAGAAGGAATTTTCATAGTAAACATTTGATGTTGGGTCCCTCCTTGTCCCAAGTCAGGGTTACTGTTTTGTTCATCCTTTTCGAATTAACACAAACATTGCAACAATAACTTCTATATGCATGGCTTTTAATGCTGCTGATTAGCTGTTGTGCAACTATCTAGTTTTCCTGTTTAACAAAAACATGGAAAAAAACTCTACAGTTTTAGATTATAGATGACATCAGCATGTAGCCCCCACCTAAATTTTGGGGAATATGATATGCTGATGGGACTATAAAAACTATCTCAGTCATTTACTAGAATGAACGGTTTTTTCCTTGAGAAAATGAAAAGCAATGAAGCTGCAAGCTAACTCGGGATATTTTAGCTTTAACTATTTTAATTGTATTGTAATGGTTTTGATTGTTTGGTTTTTGTTATTTTAATTGTGCCACCCAGAGTCACATATGTGACATGGGTGGCTATATAAATTTAATAAATAAATAAAATTGCAGCAAAATAAAGATAACCTTTTGGCAATTTTTATGGGAAACATAAATGCTGGGTGCATTAAAATACTAAAATTTCTGTCAAGTTTACTTTAGATATCTATGTAGTTTAGAAATGGTGTTATCACAGTCCCAAAGCTGTACCTATTTGGAATATTAAATAGTATATACTGTATTCTGAGACAATGGCAAACAAATAGTTTGCTGTTTGATATGTGAACAGGTCAAGCAGTGGCTTAAGTTCTATCCAGGAGAAGCAGGGAGCACATGATTTGTAATACTGCTCTGTGACCCCTGCCCCAAGCACCGCTTTGTTCATGCCTTTGCATGAAACAAAATTTTTAAAAGGAAGAAAACCCCAACTACTTTTCTCTATGAAAAATAGTTCATAGACTATGTTCTTTCATCAAAATGAGCTTTGTTTATGTAACAGTAAGATACTTAAATAAAACTGCGTAATTGCTTTCACTTTTTTTATGGCATATTAAATTAAAGGTAGAGTACACTTTTGAGTAAGTACCTCAGGTTTGTATTTTATTTATTTTTTAATCCGCACTCAGTCGTGACCGCTTCTGCGGTGACTGCCTGGACAAGTCCCTGCAGTTTTCAAGGCAAGGTGTTTCGGAAGTGGTTTGCCATTGCCTCCTTCAAAGAGCGGAGCCCAGCTGGTGAGCACAGGAGGCGGGGTTTCTGTTGCTTCATGCCTTTTTTGGGCGTGCGCGGCTTCCGCGTTACCGGCAACTGGTCCCATCTCCCATGCAAGGCACCACCAGCGTTTGCTGTATGCTGAGCCCTAAACGTAAAACTGGTCAGGGTCTTTTTTACAACCACATGATTCCCCATTATTAATATTCTGAGTATTTGTTATTCCCACTTTATTGGAAAAATATAGTCCTAAGATAATTTATTATAAATTTTCCTCAATACCTTGTTTCCAATTAATTAATTTTAAAAATGCATTTCTAGTAAATGAGCTATTAATACTCTAAATCTTACATTTTCTCCCAGTTGCTTTTGATAATATTTTCATCATCCTAGTCATATGTTTTTCAAAAATACTATTAACAGTATTGATATTAAAAATCTTATGCAGGACTTTGAGTTCCCATCAGCACTTAACTATGGTCCATGAACACAGGTAATAGTAGAGAATACTGCCCAAGAAAATGGGGTGTCTCCTTACTGGATTTTAAAATTACTCCATCTTGGAGGCATGAAAGGAATGAGCATCAGGCAGGCAGGGAGAGGAAAGGTTGGTCCATGGGGGGTGGGAGGAGAAGGGTAAAGAATGTATGATGCACATACAGAAAGTGCAGCAAACTGCTCCAGCACTTAATTTCAGCCACAAATGAGGAAGAACTCTGAAAACACCCTTAGGCATTGGGGAGCTCCTGACCCCTAAGCTTACACTGTGCAGTAATACCTTAATAGCTTTCCATGTCACTGGCTTGGCATTTGTATATAAGCAGTGCCTGACTGAGCACTCTGAATGGTGATCATCTTCAAAACAGTGTTTGTTAGAGTAATGGTGGGGCATCTTTGTTTTTTGTTTGTAAGAATAAGCTGAAGAAAGTTCCACACTGCCAAAACAACGCTGTTCAGCCACTTCCTGTTAAAACCAAGCATGTAAAGAAGAGCAGCAGTTCAGAACATGAAAAGCTAGCCTCAAAGCCCAAGCGTGGTAAGTTATTAAAAGAAGCTGACTTCGTAATTTAGATGAAGATCTAGAACAGTGCGGATAGAAAGCTGGGGGTTGGACAGAAGGTAATCACTTCGTGATCTTGGGATGGCTTGCAAAAGTAAGCTGCATCAGTATACAGTATGTTAACTGCTTTCTGGCAGCACATGTTCCCCTGTAAACATATAATAATCCAGATTCTACAAAAACCTGGGTAAAAGGAATGGAAAGCTAGGAGCATATCTGTTGCTAAATAAGCAATGCTGTATTTAGGTTGTTTTTCTACTGTGACTGGAGGGTATCCTTAGCACTTTCCTCTTCTGCTTGCTCAAAGGAGGAACCAGAGTATTCTTGGTAGCCTGCAGGTGGCAGTAGAGAGCCAACCATTTTCTTGGTCCTGCCTACTTGCGAAAGCAATTCTCTACCACGGCTCCCAGCTAAATTTTATCCTTGATCTTTGATCCATTTCTCTTGATTTTTTTTTCTTTCTATGGAACTTTTATGCCCTCTAATGCCCAGGAAGATGCTTAATTTTCTTGGAGGCATAAAGAATGTCTCCAACCCTTTGGGACTGCCATTCTTAGGCTTGGCCCTTCAAGCAACAGCCTCACCAGGAGGCACAAGCACAGAACCTGAGCTGAATTTCTGGATATTTTTCTTTGTTTCAGGGTCTGTTCTGAAATCTGTGTGATATATACAGTTCAACAGTACTTAAAAAATCAAGTATATGTTCCAGATTTTTTTTTATTTTCTGAAATAATGTATTGAGAAATATGTGATAAACATGTGAACAATTTCATCAGTAATATTTTTATATATAGTTCTAATTGTTATTTATATTTGTAATACACACACATGCACACAAACACACATATAGGATGTAGCAATTATTGGGCTAATCCCAATGTGGTGTTTTTTTTTTTCAGAGAAAATATTATTGTGCTTAGGAATGTTCAGTGGACATGTGTCAAATGAGTAAGAAAGTGTTTAGAAGGAATTGGCAACCAATTTGAACATTTAATGTAATTCATATAATTACATTATATAAATGTAATGTCTATGGGACCTGACCTTTGGTACATCCTCTGTGTGTGTGTGTGTGTGTGTGTGTCTGTCTGTCTGTCTCCATATATATATAGATATACAGTCATGTGTGTAAGTATTTATGCATACGTAGAAAACATCTGGGGGGAATTTGGGCAAGACATGTAATCCCATGAACATGGACCCCCAACTGTTGTGGAAGTAATTTAGA